GTGTGTGTGTGTGTGTGTGTGTGTGTGTGTGTGTGTGTGTGTGTGTGTGTGTGTGTGCAGCTCGTCAGCTCTAATTAAGCTCGGCCTCTTAACGAGCAGACAGCTAATTAACACACTAAGAGAAGCACACACACATTTGTCCTTCATCGCACGCTCTGGTTTCTTCATCGTTTTTGTTGCTATCGTTCTTCTTTCCTTCTTTATTCCCTACCTTTGCACCCTTAAATCCTTATGTCTTCCTTTTTTGTGTGGTTTACTCTTTATTTAACTTTTGTCCCTGCCTCCTCATTCATTTCCTTGAATCTTTCCACTTACTTCCCTCCTGTTTTCATTCCTTTTCTTTTCTCTATATTTTTGTGTTTTTCTTCACTTGTTCCCTTCCTTCGTTCGTTCCTGTTTTATTTCACTTTCTTTCTCCTCACTTCCTTTCCTTACCTTGAACTCCCCTCAGATCTTATTTCTCGTCTGTTCTGTGATTTTAATTGTCGCTTTTGTAATTTTCCATTTTCTTTCCTTCTCTTTTTCTCTCATCTAATTTTTTCCCCCTTCTCATTTTCTCCTTTTTTTTTATCCCCGTTTCCTCCCCCTCTCTCTTTCCCCTCTCCCACTTTTACCCCCCTCTTCCTCCTCTTCCTCTGTGGTGTTTTTCTGGGTCAGACAGAGGGAGGGAGGCGGGAAGGTTTGGGGAGATTTGGGGAATCTTATTTTAGTCGCTCCACATTTTCGAGCAGTGTGTTTGTCTCCTCATCAGCCCTCTGCTGTATTTAACTTTACATGCTCACCATCATCATCACCATCATCTTCATCATCATCATCATCTCTATTCAGTGAAATCTAATCCCATTATTCGCTTTTATATCTGTGAAATGGCAGCTTTTTTTTTTACATGGTGCTATGAAACAGTTCAACACTTTGCATTAAGTGTGAGCCACCCTCACAGTTGCCAGGCAGATTTCTGTGGATATTCAAAGTCACCAGAGCATGAAGCCCAATGAAAAAAATCTTGTTGCATTTGAATCTGTGAATTTCCAGTTGAAGTTCTAAACAAAAGGAAAAATATAAAAAAATAAAAAGACAGATTTTTATTTCATGCGTTCGGTATATGGAAAATATTTGGAACTGATGAAACTGCAAATTTCTAGTTGAAGTTTAGCTTTAGATTATAGATTTTCCAATAAATTATAGAAATAATATTTCTTTAAAGGAAAAAATGATTAAATTAGGTTTGTAATTGATGTTATTTTGGATTTAAAAGCATCTCCACTTTAATTCTGTAATTAAGAGTTAACTCAGATTTTCAGTGGAAGTTTGACTTCATTGTTCTTGTTAAAAAACTGTATCTCTGCTACAAAATAGCAAAGAAGGTAAATCATTAGATTCATTGTTGGATTTAGAAAGACTTGTGGGTGTTAAACTGGCGGATTTTCGAAGCGAGTCTGACTTTTTTTAAATGAAGAAAATCATCTTTGTATGGAAGACCTAATTAAAAGTTAAATTAGCGTATTTCAAATGGAGGCTCTGGTTTTTCACTAGATAAAGAAAAAGAAATTTTCTGCATAATAAAAATCTCTGTGTTAATGGAGGAGATTCCAACGGTTTTGACATAATTTTCTTTGAAAATTGAAAATAAAAGTTTCTGTTTCTGAGTGATTTTCCAGTTTGTTAGCGTTTCTTATTGTTTTCACAGGTAGGTTTTTTTAATGATCGTCATTCCTTTTGTGTTCGTTTCAGATCCGCGTGGATGGGATCCCGCCGCCGGCCGAGAACGCTTTGCTGTATGAGACAGTGACTGTGGTGGAGGGCAAGCCGATCCTGAGAGACATGGTGTTCAGTCCTGACCATCAGTACATCTACCTGCTCAGTGACAGACAGGTAAATACACCTGCCGAGCCCTTACACGATCAGTCAGAGAAACGGTCACGAGACTCTTCTCCGTTCGTTTGTCCCTTTTATTTCTTCTTTGAATTTTACAGCCCAAAAAACACAAAGCTGGCGTGATGGTGACGCACCAGATCGGCTTGTTTGGGTCACCGTGAACATTTCATATTAAATGTTTATACAGAGATTTCGTTGTGACGCTCTGACATGATTAATGTTTTCGCCCTGCATCACATTTTTATGGGTTAATCTAAGAATATTTGTGCTCGAAAGAATTTGATCAGCAGATTTATAACTGACCTGCATTTTAACAGATAAGAAAATCAAAAAGTCCTGACTTAGATTCTCCCTGATTCAGAAAAAGAAAATCCTGCACAGAAGAACGACGTCTGAGGGTTAAATTAGCAGATCTGTAATGGAAGTTCTGCTGGACAGAACTGTGAAGATTTCCAGTAAATGATTTTAGTGAACTTTTACTCACCCAGAGAAATGTATCCTTGTATAATAGAATTACTAAATAACCTAAAGAAAATGAAAATAACAAGCTAGATCAGAACATTTCCAACTGCATTAAGACTTTTAATCATTTAGTTGTCTTCTAATCAATCATGAAAACAAAGAAAAGCTTGATATAGATGAGATGAGGAAAAGCAAATCTGTGTAAATGGAACTAAATCAGCAGATTTCCAGAGGAAGTTCTGATAAATATAAAAAATAAAATGCTCTACAGAAGAAGCCGTTCTGTTTCATGTTCAATCATCAGATTTTCAATGGAAGTTCTGCATCGAGGTTTTCAGGAGCCAATGAAAAGAAAGAAAAGGTCTGTACACAATAAAGACTCATGAGTTGGTTTTTAGTTCGTCAATTTTAGTTCCAGTCATTAATTGGGGGGGAAAACATGTTCTATATAGAAGAAAGCTTCTGAGTGTAAAATCAGCAGATTCCTAATGGAAGCTTTCCAGCAGCTGATGAAAAGCAGGGAAAGTTCTGCACAGAACTCATGAGGATTAAGTGGGCAGATTTCCAACGGACTATTTGGCTTAAATTTCTTGTAATGCAACTTCTAGCGTAGGTTTTTCAAAAGTTGCAGAGAACAAAGTCCTGCAGAGAAGAAAGCCTTATGAGCATTAGATCAGCACATTCCCAATGGAAGTTCTGCATTAGGGCTTCCAGCAGCTGATGTAAAAAAGGAAAGATTCTGCACATTTCTGTCTTTTTGATAAGAAAATGAGCCCAAAAAATACACAGCAGGTCAGTTTATCAGAGGAGCTGCAGTCATTTACAGGGGAGGTTACGTGTGTGTGTGTGTCTGTGTGTGTGTGTGTGTGTGTGTGTTTGTGGGGTCGCCAGAAAGAGAAATATGAATTGTGTTGTTTTAACATCTGCAGACAGGAAGCTGAGAATATGAATATCGCTCAGCTGGCGCCACCACACACACTGCGTTTCTGAGGGTGTGTGTGTGTGTGTGTGTGTGTCCCATGTTAAAACTCTCATTGTACCACTGAGAGGAAGCAGAGACGAGTTCAACAACTGTTAGTTCCTGTGCAGCTGAGGGGAGACACACACACACACACACACACACACACACACACACACACACACACACACACACACACAC